CTCTAAATACTTTAGCGATGTATACACCATAGAAACACCCTTCTCACCAGTGCATGAAAATCCACCCACACAAGCACTGGACAGAGTAACCATTGAAGAACTCGATGTCTTTGGTCTGCTAGTTAAGCTTGACATAGGTAAATCCACTGGACCCGATGAACTGCATCCTAGGTTATTAAAGGAATTAGCTAACTTTGTTGCGAACCCTTGAAGTGTATGTTTTAATCTATCCGTAACTCAGGGTCGTCTACCAAAAGACTGGAAGAACGCCATAGTAAGTCCAGTCTTCAAAACAGGTTCAAAACATAAGCCTGAGAATTACCGACCAATTAGCCTAACTAGTGTGGTTGTTAAAATCTTAGAAAAGATTATTCGGAAGGAACTGTTAAAGTATCTCGATGAAAACCGGATCCTCTCCGAAAAGCAGCATGGTTTTAGAACAGGTTACTCTCGTCTCACAAACTTATTAGTCGCTCGTGAAAGCTGGTGCGCTCTTAAGGACCAAAAATTACCTATAGACGTAGCTTACATCGATTTCAGCAAAGCTTTCGACAAAGTTCCGCATAACCGGCTGTTATATAAGCTAAGGAATGTCGGGATTGGAGGCAATCTATTGATGTGGATAAAAGACTTCCTAGTTGGGCGTCAACAAAGAGTAAGGGTGAACTCCAAGTTGTCTAGCTGGGAAACTGTGCTTAGTGGAGTCCCCCAGGGTACAGTTTTGGGGCCAGTGTTATTCCTCCTGTACGTAAATGATCTCCCTCGTCTACTATCGTCATCGGTCTTACTCTATGCTGATGATATCAAGATATGGAGAGCGATACAAAGCAAGGGCGATAGCTTAGAACTTCAAAATGACCTGGAGAGATTATCTGAATGGTCCCAAACCTGGCAATTGCCGATAAACACTTCCAAGTGTATTGTGATGCATATTGGCCATCAGGGTACAGATACATACACGATGAATAACACTGAGTTACCTATTGTTCAGGCACACAACGACTTAGGCGTCATCGTCAGTCAAGACTTAAAGACTACTGCACACTGCCGTGCAATAGCCGCCAAAGGTTTTAGGACTTTATGGTCCATACGCAGGACTTTTAGGCATCTTGACGCTAAAACGTTTTTGACTTTGTATACAGTGTTCGTACGCCCTAAACTTGAGTACTGTATACAAGCAGCTAACCCCTGCCTAAAAAAGACAGTGAACTCTTGGAAAGGGTTCAGAGAACAGCAACTAGGCTGATTCCCGGAATAGCGAAGCTCCCGTATGGTACTAGACTGACCAAGATAAACCTATTCCCGCTGTCATATAGAAGAATCAGAGGTGACTTGATTATAGTTTTCAAATTGCTTAATGGCAAATTTGCACCTGATATGCCCTCATTTTTCTTGTCTTCCAAAACAGAAAATCTACGAGGACACTCCAAAAAAGTTCACAAGCCCAGAACGAATTACTTGTCAGCTGACTACCGACTTTCCCATCGAATAATCAACGAGTGAAATTCATTACCTCAGCACGTGGTTGAGGCTCCATCCGTCGACTCCTTCAAAAGAAAGTTGGATCAGCTGAGAGACCATCATTGCCAGGACTAACACAGGCCATCAAGCCTCCTGTCCTTTCCAAACTGTAACTGAAACTGAAACTAATCATTAAATTAAATGAAAACGGAATCGACGTTGTAGAAAAATCATTATGAGTGAATCAGTCTAATTATTACCGTCATATCAAGAACGACCACTTCAAAGGTTCTCATTGGCTACGAAATTCAACTGTCCTATGACACCAAGACCGGCCAAATGCAGTTCTCGGGGCAGATTGAGTAGTGGAATCCAATTTCATATGCGGTAATATCCACGTGAAGTGGAATTTGAAAAACAATTCTTGTAGTGAAGAGAGCATGCTTTCATCAACTCATTTGATAATGATTCGCTGTGTATATTCCCTCAAAGTTAGATTTCGGGATTTGACTTAAGTATGATTAATCAAGTTAATATTCCCCAGTAGACAGGCAGTGGGGTATAGCTTTCACATATAAGAAAAGAAATAGAGCTAGTTTGAAGTCATAACTTGAAAACAACTCCGAACTGTAATACATCAGCTTCAAGTATGTTACATATGTTATATTCGTTTCTAATCGACTTTTAATGCTTTGGAGAAGGTCTGGTTCGGATCTAATGAATCAGCCATGTTCAAAAAGCTTCTCCATGATCCGATGATCTAACATATGAACACAGCTAGAGCACAAAGTTCAAGCCATATATTCCTCAAAGCATTTGAGGGCACCACGAAAAGACTCCGAAGCGCTTTAATGGCTATTTGGCTGGAGCATAAGTTTCTACTTAGATCACTCAATCCAGTCAGTTAGTGTGGGTATTAGTAAAGATGTTATTACGATAGAGCGTGCTGAATCCATTAGGACTAAATTAATTATAAATTGCTCCATCCTCACATAAAAGAATCTGTTAAAACTTCATAATCTCCCGTTTAATTCACTATAGGATACTAGACGATCTTATTTTAGCATTCTGCGTCTTCAATATTGATTTCGATGTTAGCGAACCATTTACTTTTTCTCTTTCTGCGGTATATCATCTCTCAGTGCACAACATAACGGAAAACTACAGAGGTTCGCAAAGCTTAACAAAACTGTCTCCAGAAATTATCCTGATAATGCGGTCTCCAAAATCAATCTAGACAAAAGTCAAGACATCATGATGATGATAAATTTTTGGTGATGGACGGAATCTTAGCTGAGTAGTAGTGGTAAGAGATGGCCACCATTGCGTGCCCAGATCTGATATAGTTTAGTATTTCCGTCTTTTAACTTCTGTGTGCCAGGGTAGACTAGCAGGCTACTGCGTTTCAGTAACCCAACAACATGTCTATAACATCAAAGATACAGTAGATCGATTTGCGTAAACTCAAGTTAGAGTAAGCATACCATTTATCACCTTAGGTAGTCGGTTTTTCATTTACCGACTGTAAATTGAAGACAAAGCCTATTACACAAACGTTAGGATTTGTCAAAGCGAAGCTAATCTCTAACTCTGTGTTGGGACAGAGGACCTTCATAACCACATTTGTGGAATATGACAGGGATCTATATCTTGCCGTTATGACTGTCTTGAACCCTATCTGACGATTTATCGTATCAGTAGGTTTAAATTTGAGGGAACGTCATAGTTTTCTGCAATTTCCGGCTGACTTGCAATTAGTGTTGTGGCACTAAAGCCGTTTATAGTTATGTTTCTCGTGCTTTAGCAACAGATCTTTTGTGCCATAGGCTTGATTGACTACATTTGGTTCGTTTTGTCTTAAAAGTTCGTAAAACGAGTGAGGGTAGTCGACTCGCGCTTTTCTTCAGTGATGCTAATGTTTGTGATGATGTCCAGAGACCGGTCAGGATATCCAACTTGTTTATTAATAGCGGTTTCTTGGAGTGAAAAGAACTAATAGCACTTTTTGGGGCTGTCTACAGAGGCTTTCATCAAAGGTTCTCTGACCAATGTTTTCTCTCAGTCATGGAAACATTTTTGTTCCTTAAATGTATGCCATTTTGACGTTATTGAAGGGTTTATCTTATCTTTACCGATCGGTCAGGTTTCCACTTTCAGAAAGAAACGTTCCAAAGTCCCGTAAGGCTCGGAAACATCATTGGCAAACACACTAGGTTTCAAACTCATGCGATAGTCCTTTCAATGATTCGACCACACTTGCCTCAAGTGAATCAGCCTGAGTATAGTAAAGTGAGGCCTCGTTGTTGTCGGTGAAAACTGTCACTATCTGCGGAATGCGAACCTAGGAGTCTTGATGTCGAAAAGTTTAAGTGTTTGTCCATGGATGATGAAAGTAAAATATGTAAATATATGAAACATTTTGAAACATAAAGGTGATGTCACAATATGTGAAAATATACATGTGAAGTTACAGCAGGAGGTGGACTCAATGCTTGTCATCAGGTGTACCAGGTCACGTTGGGTTCACTAACGAAGATATCACGGGTTCACAGGCCATAACAACACTTTTGCCAGGGACGTCTTCTGATACAAAGATCTCTAAAACCAGAATAAACAGAAGTTGATCATAAAGGGGTTCGAGGACATTTCAATAATTATCGATTCGCAGTAGAGGATGGAATCTTAGCTGAGTAGTAGGGACTTATTTTCCAAAACATAGTCTCGCAAAATCCACTGTCTCACAAACTCAATGTGCTTCTGTTTTTAAGTCGAATGTCGAAAAAATAGAACATTTTAATTGAGCGAGTCGTATCGTATCATGCTATACAGCTTTTGGGGGAGAAACTGAAACATCACAGAAATCACAACTGCGAGAGCTGAAGCAGGTCGACTGACCTGCTTAGTTACAATACTAACCTAAGAGATAACACCTGGAAACTGGAGACCCAACATAACAGAACTGACTGCAGTCATAGCTTCTGCTCCGTAAGAGTTGCCGAATGCTGGAATTTGCTGCCGACTGAGCTAGTCCAAGCGACTCCAAAGGAGTCCTTTAAGAGGAAACTTGACTTATTCTTAAGGACCAAGGATAACATATTATTTTGATTTATCAAATTCTTTTTTTCTTCTATTATCGTTAATATACCTAGGTTTTTGCCTGGAGGTATTGGTGATCCACTGCTACTAGACACGGAAGTTCGTTAATTGAAAGCTTCTCCTATTCCGTCTTCAGCCATTTGAACCATTTGAACCTAATAAAAACTGAACACTGGAATTAAAGTTAGACCGAGTAGTTTTAATGGTCTTTTTATTGCTTATCAACTCTCCATTATTATGATTGAAGTAACTCAAAGATGGTAGGGTGAGTAGGGACATTCTTTATCGCTGTTAGCCTTTCTTGAAACAATTAATATCGTATGGCTTGAAGGTCATCTGATAGTTGTGGCGGTTGTTGCAGTTGCGGCGCGTGTGTTTGGGACGGGATACGATTTGCTATATCCTTTATTTGTTACCTTCATTCTTTTCTGCCTTTACACATAATGAAGATTATAAAGTCGTCTGAAACTGTGAATGTGCCTCAAGGCATAAAAGTAAAAGCCATTAAAAGAGTGGTTTACGTCAAAGGTCCTCGTGGATCACTGAAACGTGACTTCGGTCATTTGTCCCTAGACATCAAAGTTTTCTCGAAAAAGATTGTTGTAACTAAGTTTTTTGGCAACAGAAAAGAGCTAGCTGCTGTCCGGACAGTCTGCTCCCATATTGGAAATATGATAAAAGGTGTTACATCTGGATATCGTTATAAATTGAAGTCCGTTTATGCCCACTTCCCCATCAACATGATTCCAGCCAACGACGGTTCCAAGTTGGAGATTCGCAACTTTTTAGGAGAAAAAGCGACCAAACTTGTACCTATGGAATCAGGTGTAAAAGTCTCAGCCACTGGAGTGAAAGATGAGATTCAAATTGAGGGCAATGATATTGAAAAGGTCGCAAAATGTGGTAAGTTTCAAGCTTTTATTTGTAATCTTTTTTTTAGCTGCCCTTGTTCAACAGTCCTGCAGGGTTCGACACAAGGATATCCGTAAATTTCTTGATGGTATATATGTATCCAGTAAAGAATCCATTGAAGCTAATTGAATAAAATTTAGCTAACCTTGGGACATGTCTTCTGCTTTTTCATGGGTGAGCACTCGTATGCATTCGCTTGTCTCAGCCACTTTGTAGGAAATAGTAGTTAGGGTCCAAGTCCTGGTGTGTCGTGCATTCCTAAGTTCATAGGAAGTTGCTGGTTGTGCGTTGCATATTCTGCTAGTTGTTGAAACTTGACTTGATTTTCGATATCTCCTCTCTCATTTTGTTCAAGGATCTAGCCGCTCATTCACTGGTGGTTTATTAGCTGTCTCATGTCTTTTGAGAATGTTATTTTTGAACAGTAGTCAATAGGTTTTGTGATCGCTTACTTTGTTGGACAAGTGCTTGGAATACTTTGCATAAAGTACACGAGTCCAGTACTTGGCTTTTTACAACATCAGGGTTAAAATGCTAGGTTAACATTGGGACTTCTGCTGTTTGAGCACTCAAGTCCACCAGAAGGATAATCAATCCGAAGTACCAGGTTGCACCCTCCTAAGGTATATTGGTTTGTCTTTCAGTTTTAGACCTAGAAATCACTAGGGTGTGCTAAGAAATACTATAATCTTGTCATTTACCCGTGTTAACTGATCGGTTTGTGTTTCGGAATATGTTTTACATTATTCCGAAACGTGCCAGGTGTTTTGTGCAGACAGTCCATCAGACGCATTGGGTATACTATAAGGTAGATGAGATCCGGCCCTCTTTAGGTCTAAAAGATTTGAGATAAATTAACCCTACTGAATTATACGATATTGCATCCGTTATCATTTATGGCATTCTTTCTTGAGATAAGATTTTTGAGTGGGTTTGCTGAGTGTGCTTGATTACACGATATGAATTAAGCAACATTCCGGGTAAGCATGGATATTAGAATGGACCTATAGGTCGAACAAAATACCAGGTGTAGTCTCTTCATCTATATGGGTGATTTATTAAATGTCTAGTTTTCATGTGTTATGGACGGTCTGCTAAACATCTCGGGAATTAAAGTTGGGATAGTCTGTCAAGTTATAGCATAAGTAGTCTGCTTATAGTATATTCCACAACTTGTAAGCTAGGCCAGAAATAATGTCCATAATGCGTTGACTCATTTACGTACAAAGTTTTGTCAATTTATCTAGTGTTCATGGACATTATCCAAAACATGGTTTACCAGTTAACCTTTTACTGACCTACATAGTAATCATCCTGGATTGTGATTATGGCGCCTTAATATTATCTATGTTGTACACTACAGTGAAAGCTACTCAGTGGTATGAAATAAGTTAACCAATGTTTTGTCATCGTCAACCCAAACCGGAGCCTGCAGTTTCCCACTAGCCATTCGTTCATAGGCCTTAATTCAAGAAAAATTATGATGGCCCACTTGATGTTTCCTGAAAGGTGTGGCATTGTATGTTTGTCATCGGTAAATTCCTAGTGCGATACGTCAGAAGCTTTCATGCTTACGTCATATACTTGTGACTATGTAAGGCAATTTTTATAGATGTCGGTAGCTATCTAAGTATACATACTGGGATGTTCCTAGTTCGTAACATTGTAATACGGATAAACTGGAAGAAAGGAATTCCGCTATCGCAAATAATTATTATTGTCAATCTCTATACTTGGAATTTTGTCATAATAAAGTGCTCGTTCTGATTGGTTGCGATCACCGTCTGTTTTTTATCCTTGATATTGAAGATCCTAGCTTTGTTGGAAATAGTCTTGATCCATTCAGTCCTCATGTGTTCTCAAAAATTCATTGAAATCGTAAACCGATCTAAGTGAGACCACCATTAGAAGTCTGGGAGCACTGGATGTGCATTCCGTGTGAGCGTGTGACTCAGCATCATGAAACTGAGGACCCTTTGTTCGATTCCCGCGTGTGGGACCTTGGATGCGCAATGCTGAGGAATCTCATAATAGGATAAAACAATTGGCCATTGCTCCCTAATTTGATTAGTTATTTAACTTATGCCTTTTTATGATCTCTAAGATTCAGCAATCTATCCGATCCCATAATGATGATAATGAGATGTTGTTTTTCTGTCAGGCCATACATTTGTGCTGACTGATCAGCTATGTATCTGGAATAAGTGGATTTGTTACATATTAGTAACCGAGACTGTTTCTGTCAAATGGTTTAATTAGTATCAGCTCAACACATTGAGTTTTCTCTCAATGTCAGTGCAGTTATACAAAGCAGTAAGATTCGTTGGTTGGTTGGTACTGTACTGAAGTACTCGCACGATTTGGTGTTATCGGTGGTATGATGCTTAGAAAAGTTGTCATCAATTGGTTTTACTTGTTTCATAAGAAATAATTGCTACGTGTTTGATAATCTTACTGATATTTTCTATGCATACATTTTTATTTATTTATTTAAACACGTACATATTGGTACAAAAGGGCACCAGATACATATGCGCCACACAAAATAATGAGAATGGGAGGAGAAAGGGGGAAGATGCGTATATATAAATGAAGAAAAAAAGTGAAGATTAATGGTGGGGGCAACTGAAATGTACAACCAGAAAAACTCTCTCGGTTAAGAATGTTATAACCACTCTTTATGAAGAAAGTAAAAGAAGGTTACAGCAGGTTCCCCACTGACTTCTATTCTGAGTCATATCTGATAACGTCTCTAGCCACTGTATTGCACCATCTCTCGGACCCCAGCCAGGGAGTCGTGAAAGACCAACAGAAGGTAGCTTTTATCAACTTTCTTTCATACCACGACACCATATCATACACTGACCACCTCTCCGCTTTTTCCAACCAGTCCCAGAGTCGGCAAATAATGCACGACGTGGAATTCTCTGGGACGACATTCGTAGAACATGTCCAAGCCACCGAAGTCGGTGTTTCAAGATGGTTACACCAATTGAATTATCGTCTCTGCGCCCGAACACGATGCCGAACATGCGTAGTCATCACACATAAATGAAATGATGACTATGCATACTCATTTATTATTTACTTATAGAAGAAGCCATTTTTTAAAAATGTTAGAAATACCTATTTTATTAAATAAATGAATTATACCTCATACAATTCATGTAATAGTTAGTTCGTCAAAGGTTATTCTTATCATTTCACTTTCTATCAAATTTATATGATTTTTTTTGTTGGAATTATCTCATCAGTTCATGACATTATTCATTATTAGTGTAATTATCGTTGGAAAATTCATTTTGAAAAATTGACTGTTCCAATGTCATATTTCATTGTGGTCTGATTGCAAATTACAAGATTAGATCAATTTTTGGCCTCTTATTTGGGTGGTCATCATAATGGCTTTTAGTAGCTTCCTTCTTTTCTTTCTTTCCCCTAAATACTATACTATACTATTATATATATATATATTTTTTTTTTTTTTGAGAGAGAGTAGACAGGTGCATGAAGCAATTATTTAATCTATTTTCCGGTTTAAAGATTGGCGTGAATCTCTGTCTAGGTTTGCATTATAACATACTGGATTACTTGTATGATGGCTATCACTTTATAAATGGATAAATGTGTATATATTAATTTCTATTGTTTATAACTGATACATCTAATCAGGCGCCGCTCATTTTTTTAGGGTCGGTTATCTAGTATTCCCTGAAAGGAGATATTGGCGACAATATGCGTCAAATTATTATGATTATTTTTTTTTATGAATATAGATTGTCATAGGAAATGTTGATAGTTTATTGTTCGATGGCACATTATAGTATATCTATCTATGTATATACATAATTTGTTCATTCATATGAATGGGGTTATTTTTTCTTCCATAAAGGCTTATTCGCGTACTAATGTTTAAAAGAAAAAAAACATACATATATATATCACATTTAGGGACCACCCTTTGGTCGGTTGATATTACAATTTGATAATAAAAAAGGATTCAGTGTCTAGTTCTTCTGTAGATTAATTCAATTCTGTTGTATTTCTATGATGATGATTATTATTTTTTTATCCCATTGAAAAATTATGGTTTTTAAATGAGTAGGATACATGTACTTTGCAAAAAAAAATGTGAAAATAATCTAATCATTGTAAATGTATTATTATATCATTAGCTGTCCTTAAATACTATCCATGAAGTCACTGACAATTGAACTGAGCCATTTTGGTAAGTGTAGACTACTACCTGGTTGGGATTCGCGAGATGATAGCAATCGATGGTTGGAGACCTTGAATGATATGGCTCAAAATTGTTTGCAATGGCAAAGGTGTATCCACTCTTTGTGTTCTACCAAGTTCTAATCTTCTGAATTCTTCATGTCTCTATCTTTTTTTCTTTTCAAATTTATTTCATTGGATTATACTCCTTTAATAACATCTTCAAATCTTAATCTTTCGGATTACTAGTTATACTCTTACTACTTTTACCACTATGAGATTCGAATCGAAAACTGCATCTCTGTGTTAATGTGGTATGGCAACTCGAACTGATGTATGTACGTACAAAGTTCTACGTTGTAACTGACTGACTAAAATACTATCATTATTCAGAATGTAAATCTCTACATGTATACTTCATTTATTGTAATAATTATAAATTTATATTTAGAATTTTCTCATTTCATTTTACTGGATACAAGTTTCTTGAAGTATTTCAATTTAATTGATTGTTTAATCATTGAACAAATGACCAGCTTAATGTTTCTTTAAAGAAAATGACAACAACAACAAAATTTCATCAATTACATATCTAAATTATTTTATTTAATTCCTACTTGTTGTTAATGACAATTTTGTGTTAATTCACCTTCCTACTGTACTAATCGATATTATACAGTTTTGAATAATCTTATATCCATTATTTACGCATGTTACCCCTCGTATAGGAGCATAGGCCGCACACCAGCATTCTACACCCAACCCCGTCCTGAACAGTTCTTTCCAGTTGTTATTCATCCTTTTCATATCTGCATCTATTAATCGGCGTAATGTGTTCTTTGGTCTTCTTATTTTCCGCTTCCCTTCAGGATTCCAAGTTAGAGCTTGCCTCGTAATGCAGTTTGGTGATT